GCTGCCTACCCTATCGCTATGGCTAAGCTTCCTTCTCGCCCCCTTCGTCTTCGGGCCTACTGCAGACCACCTCGCACAAGTCGCTGTAGCAGCGCTTCCGCATGGCTTACGCAGAAAATGCATGGCTGGGTGCTGCCTCTTGATTTATACTTCTGTAACTCGTTGGTCTGCCCCGCTCCACCAGGCCTATGGTGCACACAGTCCCTCATGGCACTTGCTTGACTGGACTGGGACTGCTGGACCGGTACCGCTAACTGCATGGGTTTGCACTGCCAACTCAATGCAGTCGCACTGCCGATGTAATGCAGCTGGGCTCACCACTTGCCCACTTGCCTCTGACTAAAACGTGAGGCAGCTTCGAAAGGCCACTTCCGGACCTTCCGGAAGTCTGTGCACTTGGCCTTTCGAGTACTGTAGCAGCTACGACCTTGACCTTTCAGGACTGTAGCAACTACGACCTTCACCTTTCAGGATTCCTACAGCTACGACCTCTACAGGGCTGTGACTCCTACTTGACAGATCTACAGATCGAACCCCTACCATTACACAGACCTACGACAGACAACAACAACAACTCTCAAAACACAGGTCACGGGTTCAAACACTCGGGGTCGACACTGATACTGTACACAGGTAAAGTGAGGACTAGGGATCGAGCCCTGGGACCTGCATCCGCTACTGCTAACAGGTGAATACCGTTTCACCAGGTGAAATATACATTAATTGACGTCCGTTGCACCCATTGGAGTGATTAGGGTCGTTAAACCACCTCTATCCCTGAGCCTCTTTTCCCAAACCTGCCTTCTGTTGCAGAGGAAGTTTGTGGATCGATCTTATCTGGATTTTGATACCCATCAATTGCCAACAGTTGTTCTGCCGGCTGACTGCACAGATCTGATCGTGACCTACCTTGAAAAAGGGCAGAAAAAAAAGGCCCCTCCATTGGGCAGGTGGTTTAGCTCCTTTCTTTTTTTTTTTTCTTTTTTTTTTTTTTCTTTTTTTTTAACAAACTCCCTCCGGTGCTAGTGGTGCTGATAGGAGCAGACACCACTAGCACCCGGGGAGAGGCTCCACCTATTGGTGGGGAGTGTCACCTGCTGGAAAACGGGTCCAGCGTCCCATGTACAGAAAATTTCAGGAAAAGCTGAGCGAATGAGCGAAGTGTTTAAGGAAACCTGCCAGCATTGATTACTCTGGGCTTCAAAGGATTGACTGAGCAGGATACTGGAGGGGGGAATCTCTTTGCCCTGTGTCAGTCGCCAGATAACTACTAATTCACATCAGCTCTCCCTCCTCCCCCTTTCCTACACCAGGTGTTCCCATCAATCCCTAAAAACCATACTTGCGGCGCATCAGTGCGCAGTGCGCTGGAATTCCAGCACGCGCACTGTGGGCGGTGGGCCAGGTGCACAAAAAAAAAAAAAAAAACATTTATTTGTGCCACAGAGAGAGAGAGAGAGAGAGAGAGAGAGAGAGACCAAAAGGTCCCCTTTTCGTCAATTCAGGGCCCCCTGCAGGTAACTCAAATGGCTCCAACAATGCACTTTGACATTGTGGAGGTATTGAGTACGGTGGCTTCAGCAAGCAGGGTGCCCGCGTCATATGTGAGAGAGGTGGGAGCAGACCACCAATATATTCTGTGGGGGCGAGTTCAGGTCTATAGCTCGGGAGTTATGGGTAACCAATTCAGCTAGATCCTGTTCGTGTCTCCACGTGATTCTCGGGGTCTAGCTCCACCACTCAGTATTACTCACCAAATGTATAACATTTGAGTGAATCTTCTGCTAAAACATGGAACCGTACACCGTCATATGGTATGTCTTCTGTGCATGTGGTGAGTAGTGGCCAGAGGCCCGTTGGGCCACTGCATGTATTCAGAAGAAGACAGAGAAAAAAACGAGAGAGCTACAGGCATCTTCACCCCACTGTACGTATTCAGAAGAAAACAAAAAGAAAAAAACGAGAGAGCTACGGGCATCTTCATCCTAATCCATAACTGCCGACATGCAGACCTGAATGCCAAACTTTACCATATATTGGTGGTCGGCTGGACTCACCAAACATGAAGAGTGCCATCTGCGAGACAGCGTGGGGCAGGGCACTACTGGGCAATTATACCCGTCTTGCAAATTCGTCCACTTCTGCGTGGGATTTGCATAAGGAAAGGGGAAGTCCAATTATCATACCCCACCCAAAAAGGAAAACCTAGAGGCTCAATGAGCCCTACTTTTTTTTTTTTTTTTTTTTGTTTTGTTTTTTAACAAAACAAAAACAGCCCCTTCTATTCTGGGGGGCATCAGTCCGGTTCCTTATCACCGGCAAGCCTGAAAACCAAAGTACAGTTTGATTGTAAGAGAAGAGGAAACTTAGGAAAGCCTTACCCTTGCGGCCCTAGGTGCCTATCAAGGGGTGGACTGCTACAACCAAACCCACTTCCCATACCATAGCCTCCCCAGGGATACTTCTGTTGGTCGGGAAGCTCCCTAGCAGCACCCAGCCATGCAACAGATCGGTCCCCAGGGAAGGCCTGGCCCGGGGGGGCTGTTCTAGCAATCTCATGGGCCTCTCATCCTGTCAATCCCTCCCTCGATACGCCCATGAAGGTCGTCTAATCCTCGTCTTATTCTTGCAACAATCACCCTCATGTCAATCTCCTTCTCTATTCAATGCTCTTTTTTGCACCTACCACCGAATGCCTCTTACACTCACCCTCATATCAATCTCCTTTTCTATTCACCGCTCTTTTTTGCACCTACCACCAGATGCCTCCTATATCCTTAAGTCTCATCTACTTCTTAAACCTATCTCCTTCGTCTTTAATATCTCTGCCACTGATCAAGCTTTCCAATCCTCAGATATTGACCTGGCCTTTATTTACCCGCCGTCTGGTTCAAAACCTGATCCAAGGCCCGTAGGCCTCCCTTATTCCACCTTGAGAAAACCTTTCTGAACACCTAAAGCCAGTTGGCCACCCTTATTCTAACATGTTTGAGTCTTGTCTCCAGCAGTATATTCAACGCTCCATCCATTCCTCCTAAAGCCAGTAGGCCACCCTTATTCTAACATGTTTGAGTCTTGTCCCCAGCAGTGTATTCAACGCTCCAATACAGCCCGTATCCATTCCTCTTCCTTCCCTTTTATCATTTATCCCAGCTTTAGCTCCCCCTCCCATTTCCCCCTTTACCCCCTACCATCTACCTAGCTCCCTCTACCCCAGTGTCCTCCCATTCCCCTTACAGCCTACCTACCCAAACCCCGATCTATTCTATTGACTGACTGCTGCTTGTGTCCTCATTCTCCAGTCCAGGCGCATAGTGTTGCAAGGCTGGTCCGAACTGCAGCTGCCCTGTGCTAAGGTCCTGCGACAGCATCTGCGGGAACGGGGCCCATCTCTGCCAAAAGCCTGCCACCTTTGCTTCCCCTATGCGTCTACTTCGATGCAGATCCATAATCCGCAATTTTGAAATTTGTGGGGGAGCAGCCTGCAGAATTCAGAATTCGGCAACCCTTGCCCAAAATTTTTTTTTTGGGTCAAGGGGCGCGGACAATTTCCGAACTCACGCGGCGAGTTGAACATTTTTTCCGGGGGGTTGCTGTAGGAAATTACGAAACCCCTACTTTTTTTTTTTTTTTTTTTTTTTTTACCTTAATTTTTCCGGTGCGCTGTGCGTGGTGCGGTGCGCGTGCACAAATCCGCGCACCGAGGTGCGCCGCAACTATGCTAAAAACTGATCGTTTTATCATTAGCTCATCCTACGACCAGGCTTAACTCAATTATCCATCTTAGAAAATCATGTGAAATGTCCTCTTGGCCACATGCTGTCAAACTGTCTGCTGGCAAGTTCTTCAACTGGTTCCACTGCCGTTGGCCATTTTGTTTTGGATTACCTCATTCTGAGGGATCGTCCCCCAGCCACCTTGTTAGCTGTTGATTGCTCCTCGGTTGCTTTCCCTCGTCCTTTCCCCTGCGTCCCTCCTCTTCCTCCCCCTCCTTCTCCCCTTTCTCATCCTTCCTTGCACTTCTTCTTCTCTTCCCCTTCCTCTGCCGCCTCTTCTTCCTCATCATCCGCGCCACCCTGCTCTTGCACCTCCTTCATCCTCTCCACGTGTCATCATCCTGTCCTCCGTTTCCTTCTCACTCTAAGATCATCCTCCACATCAGCACCCCCACATCAGAACAAACAAAGACGCACACCTGCCTGCCTGAATTGAAAGCAAGGCCCTGTCGACAGTATTGGCCCTCAGGTCCATGTAGAAGGCTGTAGGTATGCTACACTCAACCAGGCATTGCATCATCCCTCTTTTCTGATGGGGGCAGAGCCGCACTGACCTTTTGTATGGAGATTGAACTTGAAGGGTACCCAGGGCATGTTTTGATGGAATCTTTTTATAATTATGATTCTTCGTAAGTGCAGAATCAGCAGGTACTTGAAATGAGAAAGAGACTGAGTGAGCTGGAAAGTACTGTCCAAGTGAAAGATCAGCGTCAGGTGGAAATGGATTATGAGATGTTGGAGGTAAGTACTATTCCCTCTCCCTCCCTCCCTTTCCCCCCTTTCCCTCCTTTTCTTTTCTTTCCTGCCCTTTCACCCCCTTGCCCCCTGTTGCCCTCACTTCCCCTTCTCCGAACTTCTCCCCCCTCCCCCTTTCCCTCACCATTAAGTGCACACTTGTAGCCTATGTTTAGTGCAGCAGGTACGAAGATACAAAGAGTTGCAGCTGTTACGATCCTGGTCCTTCCCAAAGTGCAAATTCACAATGAAAGACAATGCCACCCAATTGCGAAAGAGATTTAAGCACTTGCAAAGAGAGAGAGACCAGAGGAGAGAGAAAGAAGAAGACGAAGAAGAAGAAGATGTACACCAGCAAGACCAATGACAATTCCCCCTTCTCTCCACCTTCCTCCTCCTCTTTCACTTCGCCAATCTTATTCTTCTCCCAATAGTAATAATAACAATGAGTGGATGAACCAGAATCAATATCCGAAGTTCCCTCTTACTGCTGACTCAACAACAACAACAACAGCAACAAGTCCACCATAGCTACGGCTTCCCTGCTTCTGCCTCCTCTCACATGCATAGGCTATGGCGGACTACTGAGGGCCTTGCCCTCCTGTCCAAAGGACAACCCGAAGCAACTATGGCGCTGCACTCCTGTCCAAAGGACAACCCAAAGCAGCTATGCTGCTGCTGCTGACTGGTCCGCCATGCCAAGCTCTGCCTCGAGCTTCCTTGGTGCAGCACTACCCCTACTGGGGCCTTCCAGATGCA